GAAAATGTTTCCTGAATGGAGGAGTTGGTAGTTTCTGAAAGTTACTTACCCCATGATCTGTCTGTAATGGCCAGCTGGATTGCCCTGAACGCCACTGTGCAGCTCTTGGGTATAGTCATGCTTTGTTTGTTCTCTCTGGTGCCCTGGTCAACGAAAAACATCTGTTACTAGGCCTGGAAGGCGTGCGGATGTTTGGGAAGGACTGACTGCCGAGGCCGAAGAGCAATCAAACCTTTGCATGAAACTTGGCGTAAAGGTGGGTCATGAAGCTCCCCTCTGCCGTGGTGAATTCCTCGAAGGTGGTCTCCTCTGAGGTTTCTACTGTTTCGTGAACTATGTATAAATTCTGGTCTGTTTTCTGTAGTTGTTGAATGAAGGAGTGATTCACATTTATTTTTCTAAAGGAGAAAAAGGATGCAATATCCTGGCTAAAAGTGTCTGTTTTTCTGTGAGTTATGACAAAAGTACTGTAGTCTACCAGAGCCAAAAGCCTTATGCTGGCGTCCTTTCTCACATTACATGAGTACATGTAAATATCACAACGTCAGGAACTTCTGGGGGGAAAAAAGGTGGCAGAAAATGGGCTGTAATTCTTGCTGTCCTCAACGTGTTCCCCTTTTATGTCTGAGGGGGACCAGGGCAGCGAGGCCGTGGCCTGGCAGGTCATACAGGTGATCTGTCCTGATCTGTATGCTCCTCGCTGGGTACAAACCGTGAGGAAAAGTTGGCTTGACTCCACATCGAGGTGTTGCCACTTTCTGAACTACAAAGAAATCTACAAGCATTACAAAGCTGTGTAAGGAATCTTTATCGCCTCTCTTTCCTGTCCTCCAGAAGTATGCATAGTTAGGGAGAATGCATGCTCTTGGGTCTTAATCCTGGTTTGTTGAAAAACCATTGCGTGACCTGGCGTGGGGTAGAGGAGGATGGCCGGAGGGCTCATTCTCCCTTTGTGTCTGCCTTACCTTTCTGTTTTCAGTGCCTCAAGTTTTGGTACGGGTATGTGGTTCTTCTCCAGCTTGATGGACCACCCTTTGGACAAGGAGGTAGCTCCTTTCAGCTCTACGCTTATAGGCTCAACGCAAAGGCTTAGACTCCCATCAACTCTGTCACTGATGCTTTTTTTGACTGTAAATTGCCTTGAATCTTGACCACCTCCGTTGGGAAAGAGAGAATCTGAAATAATTTGATGCATTAGCTTAAGCATGATTGCACAGGCTCAATATTATAACTATTGCACACACAAGAAAGATGGAACGTGGTAGAGTTCAGCCACAAATGATCCAAATGTTTTGTCTGTGGAAATTGTGAACTTAAGATTGATAAATGTGGGCTTTACCTGTGCTTTTATCGTCTTCTCCTGGCAGCAGTACGTCGTCGAGTCTGTACCATGTCTGTTTGTAGCCAGGAGATGGGCGGAATAAGGCTTTTCTTTTTCTTCTCACTAGACAGAGGGGTCTGAAATGTTCATGGTCTAAGATGCTGTGAACTGGGACCAGGTCTCCTCTTGGATCCATTTCATTTACTATGGATTGGGTGACTTTTTTAAACATTCTGCTGTGGGTGGGTGAATTTTTGAACCAAAGCGAAGCGTGCTTGTGCCTTAGGAAAAAGGCAAGACAAGTTAAGCAAATTTCTTGAAATACAAGCAGAAGGTTGTAACAAAATATGTTACTTTAATTATTAAGAACTTTTCAAAATCGGTAATAACCCAGAAAAGCCCACGTTAGTACGAGGACACAGCTTTCACAGGATTGTGTATAGGGAAGCGTTTGGAGAGGTAGTACGAGCTGTGGCTTGCTGATGAGGCTTGTTTAGACTCAGCCCCCTCTGCTGATGAACTCCCAGTCATCGTGCAGGCTGAGAACACAGCTAGCAGTTTCTGAGGGTACTGATCTTCAGCACTGGAGTCTGTTACTGTTCTTTCAATTAAGACGTTTTGTTGCATATACCAGCACATACCATAATAATTTTCATTACTAAACTAGACATTGCTCCTTAACCTAGGACCTATCATGGTCCTAAATGCTTTAATCTTTAATTAATACGTTGCCCTGACATAAGTTTAAAAAAAAAAAAGCTTGAACAACTCTTGCTGTCTTTTACTGCATCAGTGGTTTTCCCATGCATCTTGTTGCCTGGCAGACAGGAATGGTTTAGCATTGTTTCGAAACAGAGCATTAGCAAAATGATTTTGTCGAAGTCTTACTGCAAGGAAGTGAAAGCGCTGAGAGGTGAATACTAGGTTGAGGGAGGAAGTAGGAGAGCTTGTTCTATGGCGTATCTCATCCAAAATATAAGAAAAATCATGCCAGCACAGCTACTTGGGTATGCCCTGGTTCTCTGCCTGTATCCCCCCAGAGGAGAGCTGGGTGTTTGAGAGGCAGAAACAAAATCATGGTTGGTTTCCTGTTGCAGCTTGTTTTTACTCCAAAGTTTCAGTTTTGCTTCTTGCTTCAGCTGGTGTATGTAAGACGTGATGAAGAAAACTTTGATCTACAATTGAAAAAACTTCCTGTACTTTTTGAGAAGAAGAAAAGCGTGCAGGTCTTTCCCCTCTTCTGCACCCTATTTTATCAAGTCTTGTTAGAGAAGAGATGCTGATCCCTGTTTACAGTTCAGATGAGCGGATGCTCATCATCTGGGGGGGATATCTTCCCTCTCCCTAATGTCCCACAGGAATCTGAAAAAAGAGACTGACTTAGTCCGATTCTTCCAGAAAGTAGGAAGACTGTCACGTCACAAAGGATGGGGTGTTGTATGCGATGGCGCTGGGGAGAGGAAATAGTCCTGTGTGCTTAATGTGGGATCGCTTCAGTAGTACCTACAGGACTCATTTCCCTTGGGAGACTTCAAAAAGAGAGAAAAACTAAACAAGAACACTTAACAGACAGTTTGCTCCACCCCTCTTCCATACCGAAAGCTCTTAAAAATGTACTTGCCTGTTTGTGGAGCGAATGGCTTCTCAAGCACTGTCGGTGGGCAGCGTGCAGAGCAGTCCGCTGTGCTGCTGAAGTGATAATGGCCTCTTTAAAGCAGTGGGGCTGGGGAACTGCTCTCTCCCCGCCTTTCCGTTCAGAGATCCGGAAGTATCTGCTAAATTAGGGCATAAAAGGCCTGTTGCTTGCATAATTCTTCCTCCAAAAAGTTTCAGTCATTGCCCTGAGTCAACCTGTCATGATCTGTTACAGGGGCTGTGCATAACTTTAACTTGTTCTACAGATCATAGAATCATTGAGGTTGGAAAAGACCTCTAAGATCATCGAGTCCAACCATCGACCCAACACCACCACCCACTAAACCATGTCCCTAAGTGCCTCATCTACTCGTCTTTTAAATACTTCCAGGGATGGGGACTCAACCACTTCCCTGGGCAGCCTGTTCCAATGTTTAACCACTCTTTCAGTAAAGACATTTTTCCTCACATCCAATCTAAACCTCCCCTGGTGCAACTTGAGGCCGTTTCCTCTCGTCCGATTGCTTGTTACTTGGGAGAAGAGATCGACCCCCACCTCGCTACAACCTCCTTTCAGGGAGTTGTAGAGAGCGATGAGGTCTCCCCTCAGCCTCCTCTTCTCCAGGCTAAACAACCCCAGTTCCCTCAGCCGCTCCTCATAAGACTTGTTCTCCA